GGCGTATTCACCAGCTCTGCTTTGTTTCCAGAATTCATTCAGGCTGCAAATGCCGTGGAAATAACTGGCTTTTGCTGTGATGCAGCCACACTTCAGCTGGGAAGCAGGGTCCAGATTTCTGAGGTGCTCTGTAAGGAGGAGGAGGAGGAGGAGGAGGAGGTTTCCAGTTTATGAGCCACGTTCTGCCCCCAAGTTGCGGCGTTTCTCACTGAAGTAGCAGAGGCACATACCGCTATGCCCTGAGGTCAGGATCGGGGTCCCCCCAGAAGGTCCCCCTCCTGGGACACCCTTTGAGGATGCTGAATGCTTTCAAGACATCAGTTTGATTCCCCTCAGGTTCCTGACTGATGATGGGCACTACTTTTTTCACAAGATCGCTTGCTGATAACTAGTACTGTGCCTCTGATTTGTCTTGCACCTCCAGCAAAATGCAATGCTTATCTTTTCCCTCCACCACATGGATTTTCTGAAATGTTCTGAGATGCAGCTTTGAGTACAACCAGCCACCAGAGGAAATTGCCCCAGTGTTAACCTTAGAGATAGGCTGAGTGACAAGTATGATTAATCAGAGTAAATAACAGCAAAAATGATATTTACAGGGATTTAGTTCACCAAAAGGAAAGCACGGTACAATATGACACAGTAGGTCAGCTCTCCTGTGGGTGTAAATCAGTGCAGCTCTATAGAGTTTGGCAGATTTGTACCACATAGCTTCACATAAAGCTTTGCCTTTCCCTTGAATTCTCCCCTCTCAGAAAAATACTCCTTTTTGAAAAAATAATTAAAAAAAAAGTCCCTCAGTTAGTGTCCAGGCAACTTCAAAGGATCAGATCCAGGATTTACCCTGGGATGGTCAGAGAGATGGGGACCCGAGTCCCACTCCAGTGCAACTCTGTGGCAGGTGGGGCAGCAGCATCTCTGCTGGTACCTCTGTGGGCTCAGTCATGGCTGGTGATGAGGAACAAATAATTAGGGGTGGTCTGTATTGGCATGGTGAAAAATAACTTGCTTGCAGAGACAAACGTGAGTGCCAGTAATGTCAGGCTGCTAGGAAGAGCCCCTCTCCCTTCCAGCAAGATAACAAATTAATTGGGCTATGTGGCTGTTGCAAGCAAAGTCACAAGTTTGCTTGCTGAGCACAGCCTGTGTGCTTGGTGACAGTGACATATGGGAGACAATTAAATAACTGCGGTTATGTCCAGGTTAGTGAGAAAACAGATCCCCTTATGAACTGGATTTATACCATGTGTCTGGTGGAAAGGTAGCCACACGACCCAGGGGTAGGAAGGAGGCACACTGACTTCCCACTGGGTTTACAAGCTTCTTGTTCACATTTGCCTGTGGATTTCACTGTCACATAAAGCCCCATCCTGCCCTGGCCCAACAGAGCCCTCTCCGTTCCCTGACTGGCGAGTAGGTTTGTTCTTTAACAAAGAGTTATTTGGTCTTTTAGCTTGGTGGCTAAAGCCTGGATGTATAATTTACCATCCCAGGGTTTCTGAGCTCAGCTGTTTCCCCAAGCCAAGCCCAGGCAGCCAGCTCAGATCCTCCCGCTGTAGGTGGACACATCCAGCATTCAGGAGTGACAGAGCTGAACAAATCCTGCTCTCGGTGACAAACAACCCAAAGGCAAGCATCTCGGGGGTTAGGTTTGGGAAGCGGCAGCATGAGAAAGCAGCCAGGATGGGCTGGGATGCTCCTACCGGGTAAGAACCAGCCTGAGGGAGCCCAGCCCAACGCCGTGCCCTCCTCCCAGCCAGCGTGTACGGAGGGGACAGGAGACAGAGCAGCTGGGAAAAGAGGCAGCAATGGAGGCAGCAGCCCTGCACCATTTTGTGACTCCTTCCAGCAATCCCAGGGGCAGAGTGCTGCCTATTTTTAGCTCCTGAGGTAGCTGAAATACCACCATGATATTCATTAACGAAAACCCCGTCGGATGGGAACGGCAAGGCAGGGGGGTAGGGGGGCTGGGTGGTCTGTTTTGTTTTGCTTTATTTAATTGCTGGCTTCAGTATAGAGGCAGAGCGTGGCAGGAGGCTCAGCTCCTCTCACCTTGGGAAAAGCAGGAGTGCCAGACCCAGGGGAGGTGGGAAGGAAAAAGTCAATCAGGCAGTATTTAAAAATCTACCTGCTGGGCCCAGGGGGGGCTGGAGATTTTAATGTCATTCCCAGCTTGAGATGCAGCCTGGAGAGTGAGAAAAGAAAGGGGTATCTTATCTTCTTGGATCCTTAATTGCTCGTTAAATCCTCTAACAAATGCCTGAACTTCTGGATGGCCCCATGCTCCTTGACAAAGGGGCTTCATCCTTGGCAGGGGGGAGGAGTATTTTTGAAAATACTTGTTTCACCTGCTTTTTCTGGGTCTATAAAACTGAGAGTTCAATGGTTCACGCTGCAGAATAAAACTAAGTCTGGAATATTTTTATGACCATTCAGCAGGAGCAATAAGCTTTCCTACGAGCCGTTCCCCTGCTCCAGCCTGTGGACTGTCGGTCTGCCCTGCAGGCAGCTGCCCGCACTGCGGGAGCACAACCTCTCCCACCCCCAAAAGGGACCTCCAGCGACTGCAGAGGAGCGTGTACCAGGATAATCCCCTGCCATACTAGCTCAGCCCCGCTTCTGGCCCAAGCAGACGTGATAACCACAGCCAGAGGTGCCTGTCCCTGGTCACCCTCATTCTACCCTGTCATCGCTGTTCATCTCTGTCTTCCGCTCAAACCTTCTTGCTTTGGGTCTTAAATCACAAGGGACTACCACAAGTCTTAGCAGTGGAAAAGGTGAGGTAGCTATTACCCAGCACAGAAAATGTGTCCACCGTGCCATTCCCCCGATGCCTTGCAGGAAGCAACCCGCAGTTAAGTCCACAAAGCTCAGAAGCAGCCCAGACCCTGCCCGTAACGGCTGGAGAGCTTCCAGCATGCTTTGCCATCACAGACAGGTGGACAGATCTGTGATTTACACTATAATCCCACCCCAGTAGTCAAGAGAACACATGAAAGACCTCCTTCCTACCTGACTGAAAGCATGGGTGCTTTTTCTGGACCACCCAGGCACAAACAATGGGGCCACGCCAGACCAGAGTCCCGAGTGGACTGGCCATTAGTGGGTTTTGTGTTATTTAGAGTCCATGAAAAGAGCAGAATTACAGCTCCAGCAGAGCAGGCAAACCGTACTGATGATTTATGAATATTCACTGAGCTCATGAAGCACTCCGGGGCAAAAAACAAGCTTTTGAAATTAACTGAACTCTTCAAGGTTCTTCGTTTGTCTTGGCTTTGAGGCGTGAGTCACCAGTGCTATTTCTCCAAAACGAGCAGAGTCTGTAACAGAGGGCTGGGAGGATTCCTGGGCACTAAAATATGAAGTTAAATATTCTGTGAGAAAGATTTTATGTTCATAAAGTCTTCAAAGCATAGAGACTCTACCCCATTAAGTTTTATGGGATGGTATCTCCATACAGTACTGAGACATCTTCAGCCTGTAAAGACTGGGTGATCAGGGGCCTTGAGGCTCTTTCTCTGAGCATTGAAATCTCCAGCAGCTTCAGTCTCCAGCGTTAGCGGTTTGGAGGCCTTTGATTTTTCAGCAGTTTCAGTGTTCAGTAAGGGGAGGCTGCAGAGGAGTTTTGATCCTGGCCATTCAGGCCATGTCATACACCTTGCCGTTCCCACTCATGCAATTAGGTTATTGAGGTGCTCTTCAACATCGGTGCTTCTCCAGTTCTAATCGTACCCGTGACCTAAGAATCTGCTTGCTTTGCCACAAAACCTGTTACACCTCCCCAGTGCTCCGGCAGTACCCAGGGAGAGCAACCCATTCAGCAGTTGGGCTGTTCCCATCATAGCTGCTAAATCTGAGCATCAGATGGGAGCATCAGCAGCACCTGGCAGGGTTCGATCTAGCAGACAAGAGAAAAGCTAATAGAACAAGGAGGTTGTCTTCACTAGTTTGCTGTAAGCACACATAAGAAATAAGAACTCATTTTTTCCAATTAATTATAGCAATAATAATTGGTTTTGTTTCAGCTGGTAGAAGTATGAGACTTCCAAAATATTCAAAGCAATGAAAGAAAAACGCTGCAGATTAACCAACACCCCTGGAGTTTCAGGAGTCTGTGGGCAGTGTGGGAGATCTACTTAGTGCAAAGCAAGCAGAGCAGGGTCATGAATTTGGGTGTCCTGCTTTGCAAATTAATGAAGCATCAGCCACTGTGGACTATTACAGCAGGGCTGAACTCAGTTATCCCAAGACTGTCTAGACATTCCCATCCTAAATCCGAGACATCTTCCGGCCCTGAGTTGTGTCAGAACTCTATCCTTCAGGAAGAGTTGCTGTTCCAGCGAATCACATTTTTCTCACCAAAACAGATTCCATCTGAAAACGGCCAGCTGGCCCTGCCCTCACTGCCATATTCCTTAACCGCAGGAGATTCCTCTCCATCTGAGTCACAAAGCAAAATAGCCAGCCAAGGTGGTCTGTGGTAACATGAATTAGCCCCTGTAGCAGGAGCTTATGGCAAAGAACAAAAATTCAGGAAAAGCATTAAACCAGCGTCTGAAAAAAAGTTGTTTCTGGAGCCTTTCTGCTGTCCCTCTTGATACAAACAGCCCCTACTTCAGCAAGGTTACACTCTCAGTTAAAACAGGTATCACTGCAGGATACACATCACTTTGCTAACAATTTAAAATATGCTTATACATATATGAATTTCCTTCTGTTCCCAAGAAGCTCCACGCATACGCAGTGCCAACTGGTTTGTCTGCTGAATAGAAATTCTTGTTGATGTGAGGTGGATTGCACAAATAGCCCCTTTCCTTGTGGTTTCCTGGCTCCATCCTTCTTTTACCCTTTCTGCTGGATCGTATGGTGCAGATCCTAAAGTCCCATCCCAAGAAACTCAGCCTCTTTACTCCTGACAGTTTGGTGAACTGTTTCTGAAATTTCTGGCTGCCTGTTCTGCCTTGAGCATCTGTGTGACCTCTTGTTTCTTTCCTCTGCAGGCTGATGCCAAGATGGTCTGCGATGTCGTAAGTCGGATGGAGGACACAGAGCCCTTCTCTCCAGAGCTGCTGTCAGCTATGATGAGACTCTGGGCAGACTCTGGGATCCAAGAATGCTTCAACCGGTCCCGGGAATATCAACTCAACGACTCGGCCCAATAGTGAGTATCTCTATCCATAGTCTTTCATGTTAAGAAGCTGTATTTGGGCCTGTTAAAGTTTGAACTAAAGTTAATGACCTCATAGCAGAGAATCTGAACATGGTTCTGCTTGTAGACATGGATGTGTGTTGTGTCACAGGCTGCTGCAAGTCAGAAGGGATCTGGCAGGACATTCATGTCCCCTCTGGCCAGTCTGGGGTCAGGTCCGTGACCCCGAGGCCAGGTCCCCAGACTGCTCCCAAATGGCTCAAGGTAGGTTACTACAAACATGGATCTAGTGAGCAGAGGTAGACCGACCCGTGGACATGGCTGATGGCTTCTTCATTTGTGTGAGAGATAACAGAAGGATGCGATCGCCTGCTTTGTATAGCAGTACAGCTCTTGGGTTTGCTCTTCTGATAGTCGTACGCTGTCCTGATAGGCAGTCAGATTACAACCAAGGGTAAGGGACGTCTTTGCTTTTACAGTGGCATTGCATTATTCTCATAATACAGTCGGTGGCATCTCTACCGTTAGGGACCACATCCAGATTTTTCTTCATGGTGATTGTCTGAATCCATGGCGTTGGTTCATCCCGTCACAAGGACAGGACATCTACCCATAAACGGCTGCTCTGGCTCTGAAGAAACATTGAGTGCCTCCTCAGTTTCAGTTCAGACCCATTTCTAATGATAATTCATCCAATTTGTTTGCCTCCACCTAGACAAGGAGGCCAAAACTTTTCATCCCATAATTTCAATTGCAGCAGCTGTTGCAGTCAGGCAAGATGTCCCCCTGGCCCTGTGCTGTGTCTTGGGCAGTAGTCAGTAAAACATTGTGAAGTATAAGCATAAGAAACAAACAGGCAGGGAGCGAGCATTTCCCCGGTTATATCCTTGGACCTTTTGGTAGTCAGGGGAATAGAGGCTTCCCCAAGTGGGGGCAGGAGAATGCTGCATCCATGCTTCTGGCTTTCGCAGTATCCCATGTCAACAAGTTCACCAGCTGACTCATACACTTCTGCAGTTGTTACTGTGTGTTTGGATTGTCTGGCACCTCTGCTTTGGGTTTTCCTGGATATCTACCAAAACACGAACCCAAGCACCGGCATGGCTGATGGTTTTGTTCTGTGTGGTGGGCCTGATTGTCCCCAGTCTGCACCAGCTCCTCCCATCCAAGCTGGCAGGGCAGTTAGGGAGCACAAGATTATTTCTGCTCTTGTGGTGCTTCAGCAGAAGGCAAGTGATGACACATCACTTGGCATTGACCAAAAACTAAATGGGAAACCTGCAGATGTGTGGTTGGTGTCACAGCATCCTACCCAACCATTTCTCACCACGAGCAACTATATCTCAGTGATGATCCCGACATTATGCTGCCTTTTAATCACTTCTAGGTGGACATCCATGTTTAATCTATATTTCATTGCCTGTAATAGCAAAATCAGCCTTCTCTTGCCAGCAATTTTTGTTGTTGGTTTTTTTTTTTATTTTTTCACAAAAGAACAGTCTGATGGCATAAACATACCTTCAGAAATATAAATTGTATAAAATGCCAGTCCTAATTGCATTACAACCTTGTGGAAAATTCTTCAATTGTTTTAGAGCCAATTATCTTGAGGAAAGTATTTTGATTTTCCTTCCATGCAAGATAGCAGTTGAAAATAATAAGCATAGCCCTCCCAGTGTGATCAGCTGCTGGGCAATTCATCAGCAAGAGCTCTGAAACCACAAGCAGTTTCTAGACATCAACTGAAGAGGCTCTGTGCTGTGGTAGTCGCAGAAATATCAACGTGTGGTTGCAGCCCAGCAAAACGAATTTCAGTGTCTTTAACAAAATCTCTTGCATCCAGAGGAGGACGCATGATCCTTTTTGCCGGGGGAGGGCTGTGCTGCCTCTCTCCTTTGCCACGCTGTGAGTTGTGCTCACATTGTGGCTGGGCACTTGCTTTCTCTGGGCTAGGTCAGATGGTGAAGCTGAAGATAACAAGGTCCTTTGCGTTTATGGACCTGCTGCTGTTAAGGAGCTCTTGGTGGTTCTGTCGCCAGGAGTGGAGATGCTGTCACAGGGCAGGGCACTGCAACGTGTCCTGCTGCAACATTAGGCCCTGGTGCCATCACACCAGATGGTGATACAAGTGAGAGCTCAGTTGGCACTTATTCACGCCCAGTGGACTCCCAGTGAAAAGAGGCATATTTTTCATTTAATCCTTCAATGCTTTGAGGTTGTTTTCTTCTGCATGAGTGAAATATTTGAGACAGTTTTCTATTTTTTTCCCCCCCCTGGGAAGGGGCTTATCTTTATTGACACTGATATCGGATTTGAAACACTAACAACTGCAACATGTATTTTCATTAGGGCTAAGAAAAACAAAATCCAGACAAGAACCGAACATGAAGTTCCCCAAAGTTTGAAAAACAGTGATGGGCAGTGAGCTGGACTAGCATCGCTCTTATTTCAGGCTTCTCTTGGTGTTAAATCATAGGGTCTGGTGCTTTACTGGCAGGAGGGAAGCTTGCTGCAGGAGTCAGAGATCACGTTCCACAGCTTCTCAGCACACATTGCAAAGCCCAGAGGCACCAAGCGACCAGCTCCTGTCATGGGCAGCACAGGTGGGACCTTCAGGAGCGGTCCAGTCACTTCCCTTCACCCCAGAAACCCCCCGCTGAATGCCCCGAAAGCTTTTGAGAAGCCCCCCTCCACTGTCTGGCTATTTCTAAGGAACTGCCACTTGGGCTTCTCCGAGTCAGTGCTGCTGTTGTCCTACATGGCTCTGCCAGTGCTTTACCTTGAGTTTTTTCAAACGTCTCGAACAACAGGCCTTCTGTTACAGCCCCTGGAGACCAAGTCACAGGCTAATCAACAGCCTGCAGGAGCTAGCAGCATGGCTCTTACTAGTCTATCATTAATTTCTTTGAAAATAGATTTCCTATTTTGTATTAGCCTAAATAAGAAGTAACAGCTCATCTCTCCTATCAAAGATGGAGAGGAGCACATTGCTTTCCACTCTCCCATGCATGCCTGCCTCATGGTGTGGACTTCCTGAAAAGCTTTGCTTCTTTTAGGCTCTACAGTCAGTCTGTCCTTAGCAAAAATTTCGTAGCTACTGCAAAGGAACAGTAGAAAACAACGCTTTTGCAAAGAAGAAACATGGCCAAGGAAGAAGGGAGGTCCTGTGTCTTGGACAGCAAAAAGTAAAACCATAAGGACAGCAAGAGAAGGGAAGAGAGTAAGATGTAGCAGTTGGTTCCATCTTGTTTCATTACTGCATTTTTTCATCATTCCCCAAGGCAAATTTACGGGCGGGTTGAGTTCCACATTCCTAATCTCTTGATTATGTTTTTATTCCTACTTCATCTCCTCTTCCTTTCTTGTCTCCATGCCTAGAAGCTAAATCTACCTCTGATCATCAAAGAGTCTGGGCACTGCTGATGTCTTTTTCTTCTCTAGCCAGTTTCTGTCTGTGGAAGCACATCTGTGACCCACATTTTGCTTTCAAAATCAGCAAAATAGAGGTTTCCAGCTGGTTTCCTTAATCTCCTACTTTTGTTCAGATTTTAAAATCGTCTTGTGTTTCCTAGCCTTGAGTTCCTAACTAGCCTGGTCATTGGAGTACAGGGCATAGGGCAAGTTTGATCTTAACCACCCAGGGATGGGGACCTGTTTTGAATGGCCTCCAAGCTTCAGGGGGGGAATGGAGCAGACGGAGCATCCACACGAGCACAGGTTTTCCGTGTGCATATCCAAACAGGCACAGGCCCTGCAAGATGTGTAGGCAGAGACAGTTTGCAAGTACACAGACACAAAAAAGCCAGAATCCATCTCAAGTTATTCTCCTCCTGCTTCCAAGTACATTGAAAGATCATTTGATAATGCCAGGGCTGTGAAACTACCGTGAAAATGTAAAATATTTTAGGCCTGCATTCAGCCCATCCATCTTCACACATATCAGAGGTGTCAGGGCTAGGAAGCTTGTTGCCTTTGGCTCTCTCCGTAGGGAGCGAAGGGAGGGAGAGGTGCTTCTGGAGAGGAATACAGACCTGACTTCTCTGTGGTGAATCACAGAATAGTTGGGGTTGGAAGGGATATCAAAGATCATCCAGTTCCACCCCCCTGCCCCGGGCAGGGCCCCCTTCCCCCAGCCCAGGGGGCTCCCAGCCCCGTCCAACCTGGCCTTGAACCCTTCCAGGGAGGGGGCAGCCACAGCTGCTCTGGGCACCCTGGGCCAGCGCCTCACCCCCCCGCACAGGGAAAAAGAGATGCAATTGTGTCTGCTGGTCTACCACAGCTAACTGCAGCCCTGACATCTCAAGTCTGTGCCAAATACCAAGCCCAGACTGGACAACACTTTGGTCGCTTCATCTCGAGAACTTCTCTGGCAGTGCTTTATATAAAAGCGACACCAAACTCAGAATAAAATATCTCAGTGCCTTCCTTCTCACTCTATCTCATGTGGGACTTTTTCTGATCTCTTTTCCTTGCAAAGGGATTGACTTTGCATGATGGTATCACCTCCCCTACTGATACTTACTGCACCCCACATGCCAACACACACTTTGCATTGAGAATACAGCTAAGAGTAGAGCCAGATGTAGTTGTGATGTGGTGAATGGCTTCCAGACCGAGCCCTGACAAGGCAGCATTGGAACAGGCTGCCCAGAGAGGCTGTAAAATCTCCATCCTTGGAAACACCGAGCCACCTGAGCTAACTTTCAAAACGAATTTAACTTTGAAGTTGGCCCTGCTTTGAATAGGGGGATGGTCCAGATGAACTCAAGAGGACAAATCCAAACCAGCATTTTGGGGTTTGTCTTCTGTTTTTTTTTTTTTCTCTTGCTCTTTCTCTCATGACACTGAGTTTAAAAGGGAGAAGGAGTCTTCAGGGTTGGCTGCAGTCTCCTGTTCCTAGCCATGCAGCTCTATGATAATGCCCACGTCCCGCAAGTCCCATGGTCTAAACTTCTGCCTTGCTGGTGAAGCCAGCTTGTGGGACGTGGGCATTACGCACGACTGTCAGGACA